TCTTTAACACACTTTTTTTAATAGAAAAGGATGGGAAGGAAAAGTGGATTTGACGGTGGAGACGCATAGGAAGGGGAAATGTCCTCTTTATGCGCGTTTCCTCCGTCAAATCTGCAATTGTGAATGTTTATGTACAGCGATCGCTTTCTATTTTAGTGGATTCAGGTGGCCGCTTGCTCGTTTGTCATCTTATATTGTACAAAAAAGTAAAAAATAAAAATGAAGTAGCCTATGTGTTCTTCCAGACTATATCTATGCCAAGTGTTTTCGAGATCCGTTCAATAGTTTAGGCTACAAACTTTAACAAACATCCATCTAAACTTTCGCATTTGTAATATTAGTGAAATGTCACTAGTTAACAATGTCATATTTTGTTTACTTTTTACGTTTGTATTTACAGTCTTATGTAGGTAAATATTGTACTCATTCTCATTTCTAGTACGTTCGTCTATAGGACATCTAAGATCTTAAATCATATACTTTCCTGAAGCATTGTGATAAAATTAAAAAGGTGAAATCTGTACTACTGTAATAAAGCGTAAACACAAACTTCTTTGTTGCCTAAGATGTCAGCAATTACAGCATGTTTTTGAATAATTCTCTTTTTAATATAAAGCCCTACACTTACGTCACGCTTTAGGCTATATATTTTCACGGTATTAAACCTAGGGGGTAAATAAATTGGATAAAAACCTAACGTGGGAAAGGGATCATGAGTTAAAAGCAGCCAACATCAAAGAAGTAAGATTGCCATGGTTTGTCATCATGTCACGTTACTTTGATAATTTGACAAATGTAAACGATAAAATATTTTTTTTATAATTACATGCGGATGATGCCGCACGGGAACAGCTAGTAATTAATAAATGTAACATTTCAGGTGAGACAGTGTTCACGCTATCGGAGACGTCGCGGCCGGAGCTGTTCCTGCTGAGCAGCAACGTGTCGGCTGCGCTGCGGCCCGCCGCCGCCGCGCCGCTCGCCGCGCGCTCCGCCCCGCCCGCCCCGCGCACTCCGCTCGCCGCCGCCCTCGCCGCGCGTCTGCCGCACCACCCCGCCATACAGGCACGACTACCCTACTAACTACAGTAGAACCTCGATAACTTCAAACATATGTTCCCTTACCATCAGACCACAAAACCTCTACAAATACGCAACCTCTTTCAATTAAATAACTAATTTCTGTATATCTTAGATACTTAAAGATATGTTTCCACACCCTCTATAGCATAAAATTGTTTAATTAATTATTTAACGGCTTACTGACGTCATACTTTTCCCGGTACGGCACCGACCAGTTTCAGACCCTGCGGGGGTCCTTCAGGGTATGACGTAAGTAAGCCGTTAAATAATTAATTATAAAATGTCTTACGAAAGTTTAATTAATTTAATATTTTTTTTTAAAAGTCATTTTGATCGAGTGCAAAACAAAAGGTTTCGGTATTTATTGCTCGCACGATCATTTATAGAGCAAAGTAACATAAAAGATAATGTATTCTCTCTATTTGTTATTAGAAAATATAGAAATAGAAATAATTTTATTGAAAAATAACAAATGAACATTAGAAGAAAAGAATTTCACAGACTTTTTTAAGTAGATTAAACCTGCATTATGCAATGTGAATAATTAAATATGATTATATAAATTTCGGTACCTATCAATCCTTCTGACGAATTCGAGTATAAAGTGGAACAAGGGTACATACGTAGATATACATACCTTCCTCTATATTAACCCATCCCTAACATAGACCCTTGATAACTTAAAACCTCTATAACTTAATTATTTTTGTGTTTCCCTTGGACTTGAACTTATCAAGGTTCTACTGTACTAACTTACAAATAAACGCAGTATAAAGTTAAACTTAGGAGTAAACTGAGTATAAGCAAATATTAGTACTAATATAATATGTCTAGTGCCCGGTTTACACGTGGACAGTACAGTAACACAGCGGTAAATAACTGGATTTACATTCTGGCTTAGAGAGATGGATGTATTGCGTGAAAGGTGACATGATTAAGAGAGTGACTGAGATGACGTATGATAGAGTTATTTGGAGGACAAAAATTGTTGCGCCTAAGGATAAGGAGGTAGATAAATTGAAAATATCACAAATGTAAACAATATAAATTGTATATTTTATTGCGTATTTTACACGGGAACTGTTTGTAAAATTCAGTTTGTGTACACTTCATCGTCACAATCGCAGTCTTCTATTCTGGGGCAGGAATGCAATTACGTCCTACCTTGACGTATCCCACAGTGCAATATTCAGATCCGATACCGATTCTGCTACCTAGCCTTACTTCTCTGTCACCAGGCCTAGGTTTTATCAGATCTTTAGCTGCTGTAGTTGCTTGTCTCGCGACGCATATTTGCACACTGATCAGTAGGAACACGCATAAACAAAGTTTGAAATACATTTTGAGATATCTCGTTTTTGTGTCGACAAGTGAACGATACCGAAGCGAATTCTCGATTGAGATTTCTTTATTGGAGTCTTTATATATGAGTCTTTGAAAGAATACTGGAGCGTAATATTTTACATGATAATGCGGGTTTTTCTTCACGATATCAATAGTTGGAAAGTCCAAATTATAGTAATATAATTTTATAAAAGAATAAAAATGCATATTTTTCTGATGATAATAGTTTAATGGGGAAGTCTTTTTCACGCTACAAAATTAGGGATTAGATGATTTGGAAAAAAACTGTCACTCGGGAAAGGGACAAAAACTGCAAGCCGACAACATTAAGGAAGCCCGGTTGCCATGGTAACGGTAATTGTTTTCCAATGTCAAAGGCCTTCGTTGTCATTTGTGCAATTGCATTTCAAACATAAACAACTGCAATAAAAAAGGACTTAAGAAAAAAGTCGGAAACTACTGGGCTGATTACTTTTACAATTAGAAAGCTACGTTACCAGTGAGTAACATAGGTTATATTTTATTTTTTAATTTCAAGCGGGCGATGTCGCGAGCCACGGCTAGTTTTTTCTAAAGTGGGTGGGTGCTGATTATATTGTTTTCAAAACCTATCCAATAATTTACGAGTTCTGTTATGAGGACGCTTTTATCAGCTTTTTTATTACATTTGTTTTTATGTGTTAAAATTTATTGCTTGTTACAATATTATCAGTCAGTATTGCAATGACTTCTGACCTAGCCGACCTGTTTGTAAGAAAAGGATTTTTCCTCACAAAATGACATTAATGCATGAAACAATAGAATTAACAGATATTTAATATATTTAGGGCCTGTCCCACCAAATTGTAAATTTTCTGTTGACAATCCAAAGTAAAATATATGATGGAAATATCGAATTTTGTTCCCTTATCTGACAGTGATGTCATTTCTAAGCTATCTTAGCCTCTATCAGCCAGTGGGGCTGGCTCTTAACTAATCAAATTAAAACATTATTTACATATTTCTTTTCCTCTGTATGAAAGTATATATGTGTGGAGAGTGTGTCCCTGCATCTGCCCCTTTATGTACATGCATATTAGGGAGTATACAGCTGTGAGTGCTTATGATTGTGTGTGTATGAGCGTGTATGTATTTTGTGTTACCTTGAAAAAGCTTTTAACGAGGTCCATATCTTCTAGCCA